GCTTCTACTGCCTGTGCCTCATCGATATCTGCTGCTGCACTCTGAGGGGCAGAAGCGAACGATGCCGCTACAAGGCTCCGGTCCTGAGACGGGCGCACTTCTTCTGTGTCTGACACTTCAATGGGTGGTATGACGAGAGGAGGAGGCGCAGTAACAACTCCACCCTCACGCAGAATGATAGGCACGTCACTTCCATCTACGACAACAACAGGCGCGACCAACGCCGATTTCGCCAAATTTTCGCCATTGCCTGCATGAGCGGTATTAAATCTAGCGTAGGACTGATTCTCGCCGGACCACCTGTGCGGCGAGTGTGTGCGCTCGCCTGATGAGGAGGAATGCACTCCCTCAGAAGAGGAAGACACAGGCGCCGTGCAGGTGCTAGCGTCCGAAATGGACGCAAAGAGGGAGGACGCTTGGGGGAAGGACACGGCGGGAAGCACTGGAAGATGATCGAGAGATCCAGCGCGCTCTTGAGATTCGAGGTGATTCCGGGTTTCCCATTCGGCTTTGATCTTGTCGGCTTCTGACTGCTTGGTCTGAACTTTTGCAACCCTGCCTCTGTCCCCGGACACTCTCCTCTTAATATCATACATCCGATCGTCCACCGCTTCCTGCTCGCTGAGGCACATGGGGTCGACGGCGGGGAGCAGGCCGACGCGTCTTAGGGCGTCCTCGCGCAGCCGCTGGTGGTGAGGGTCTGCAAGAGGGCGGGGGACGCCGATTGAGGCTGATGAAGGTTTTGACGGTGTCATTGGTTTTCGATTGACTGTCATAGGCTTGGAGGTGTGAGTGGTGGGGTTTGAAGTGAGAGGGGGGAGACCGGAAGCGGAGCGCTTGGGCGAGCGCAGAGCTGAGGAGGGGAAGCGAGGGAGGATGGCAGATATGGAGCGTTTGACTGAGTGTATGGGAGGGCTAAAGGGAGACAGTGAGGTGGGTATATGCGTGCATGAATGACGGTGAGCGCATACCTTGTAGCAGCCTGTGCAGGCGGGGGATGCTGGTCGTCGCGAGAGCGGCGGGGAGAGGACATGGGCATGGTTGGGAGTGACACACGTACAGGAAGTGCTGGGTATATGCTGGGTGAAAACAGACCCAGACTGGAGGCTAAAGAACACTGCCGATTGGGTATATGCTGGGTGAGAAGAAGAAGGAGAGACCTAGACTACTGCTGATAGGCAGTAGTGGCTTGTATGGAAGAGTGCCAGCAGACCGACGTCGAAGAAAAGAAGAAATGCCAGGGCGGATAAATAAGAAGGAGAGAGGATCGGAGAGAGAACACGAGAATCATGATCAGCCGTGCGTGCGTTCATTGAAACAAGAAAGAGTGTCTCTCACGACCAATTGTCCGAATCACAGATCTCATCAGATCGCCGATCGATGAAACCAGTCAGATGACCGCGTATTGGGTTTTGGTCCACCGTGTGCCCGCGCTTCTGTCCGCAGCAAGTCCCGACAGAAATTAAATAGCTATAGGCACGGCAATATCCACGAAACGTGCACACACACATGGGCTCAACTCAACGGCACCGGCGCGTTCCGAGGCCGAAGGGCAACCTTCCACCCAAAAAAAAAAAGAAAAAAAAACGGTGCCGGCACATCTGACGTCCTGCTCTCAGCTCCAGCCAGGTGATCTCCGCCCTCTACGCGCGCCGCTGCTCACACGCTCTCCTCGTCGGCGCCACTTCCGTTGTCCCTGCAGCATTTTCTCTCTGTATGCCATATGTGGTAAACGTCAGATGTTCAAATTTCAAACCCTGCAACGGACATGCCTGCCACTTCACCTTTGCTCTCCGCTAACAATCAGAATCTCCGTGGCTGCACATGCACCTTCGACATCCTTCCCCAAATCCAAGTGGCGTTCTGCCTCTTATGCTCCCTGCGAATGGCGTTGGAGCTGATCCCTGCCCCTCCGTTCCTCTCGCCGTATCCATCGTCCTGCATCGACAGTCTTATTTTACCCGCCCTGCCCGCGATTTTCTACATTTCGCCGATCCACAAACTTCTCAGTCTTTCCGAGTCTTCCTCGTCCGGTCTTCCCTCTGTTCGACTATCTGAGCTTCTTTGCCCTCCAAGCCTCTTTTCCTCTATTTCTCCTCCCGACTCCATCGTTGCTAATCTGACGTTGTCTTGCCGCCCACGCGCTAACGTTGCCCTTAAAAAGCAGAGCAACCGTCTGACAATAACGTTATTGTCACCCTTACTTCATCTAGCACAGGCCCTTGTTCATTGGTTACAGTCACATCGTCCAATCACTGCATTCGTGCTACATTCCACGGTTTGCAAGGTTTTTTCGCTCGTCTGCTTTCCCTCTCTCCAGCTCTCTTCTCGCCTTGACAGTTCTCGATCCGAGTCTCCGAGCGCAACAACGCAGCCTTACCAGCTCTGCATTTTCTTATATTAAATAACCCGGGTGAGGGCGGGTGCCTGCCTTGCGATAACGTTACCCCTCAGAAACAGACCAACGGTTTCCTTTAGAGTTCTGTGCGTCAAAAAAAAAAGAGAGCAGAGCAACCCGACTCCGCGCGCGGCCTCATTGACCCCGAGCACATCGTAGCCCAAGGTCTCGTAAGTACATATATGTAGACCCTTGCCCATCCTGGCAAGTTACTCTCGTCAATCCTACTTATAGTCATTGTCGTTCACTTCAATTTCGAGGCACTGAGGCGCCCACCACAAGGCTGTGAGTATCATTATCCGTCCATCACACTCGTCGCAACGTTATGCCGTTCGCTCACAGCGTTTTCCACCATTTCAAGCTTTTCAAGCCCTGCCTCGTCTTACGGCAAGCGTTACCCATCTAAGCGAGCAGCCGGAAATCGGGCTAGCTCGTCTGCTGTTGTTGTTCCGTTGTTACTGTTGTCCCGTCCCCGTGTTGCCAGTGTTAACGCTTGTTTCGTGCTGCGGAATCTCGTTGCTCGACTATGTACGCAAGCAAGGTCATCGCAGCCACGTTTTTTTTTACAGCCGCACGACCAGTGTGTTTGTACTGCTCGTTCTCTGATGTTTTTTCGCTTGTTGGCTTAGTCTTATGCGCCGCTGCCTGATACTTTTGAATTGCTTGCCCGTTGCTTCTGGATCGCTGCGTGTAGTCCCTGGATCGTCGTCGGTCGTCGTCGGCTAACAAGCACTTCAATATTTTACTTTTTCACCACGCTTAAAGGATCCCTTTCTTCTGTCTAGGATCTTCGTTTGCCCAGAGATCTCACTCTCAGGATCCGCGGTCCTCCATCGAATGCTCGAATGCACAGATTTTCTTTTTCGTCGCTTGTGTGTGCTGTGTGCACAGAGATCGTCTTGCGAATCCGGCATGGGCCTGCGTCTCCCGCTTCGTATTAGTAAGTACACTAGAACCATGCCCGTGCCGACGTCGAATCTCGTCTCGATTTCTCTTCGTTTTTGTTTTGTTATTGAAATCACGTTCTTCTCCCGCTCGTCCGCGTCCTTATTGAATTATTATCAAGTAAATCGCTACTTAACTCCTGTGTTGCTGCTGAAACGCGTTACCGATCTGCGCCGAACTACCGGCAGTTCCCAGGCACATGTCATTATCGTCTGCTGTTGTTGTACATGGTGCTGTTGTTGGTCATCGCTAGCAAGCACTTTTCAAGATTTGCTGTTTCGCGCCGTTGAAAGATTTTCTTCCCCCGCAAGAAGATCTCGTCCCGAGTCCCTTCATCACACCCCTCGGAATCACACCCCTTCATCGCACGCAGAAGTTCCCCTTCGTCGTTCGTTCGTTCGTGCGTGCGTGCGTGCCTCCGGCCGGAGAAGATCGTCCTGCGAATCCTTTGGCCCTCTTTCCCGTTCGCAGTACACACTAGAACCGCCCCGTGCCGACGTAACGAATCTTCACCTCGCCTTCCTCTCGTTTTTCTTTGTCATTGAAATCGCGCACTTCTCCCGCTCGTCCGCATCGCTATTGAATTATTATCAAGTAAATCGCCAACTTACTCCTGGCTCTTTGTCCTGTACGTTGCGTGTTGCTGAAACGCGTTTACAAGTCTGCGTTGAACTCACTTGGTGTTACGGTACGTACGTATCGAATTCTTTTTTACAGCGTGCTGGTATTGAATTCTTTCAGTACTACGTCTTGAATTTCTCGTTTACTTAGGGATGGCCGCAGCATCTTGCAGTAGCTTGCAGTTCACAGCCTCCTGCATGGATGACAATTCTTCGAATTCACTGCCGATGTACTATGTACTTACTATATGGCACTTGAGCTTGAAGTGTATTACAGACGATTGTTCCCCTCATATGTGCCCTCAGCAGACGATCTCTGAAGCCTCAAACGTCTTACCCTTCTCTTCTCGAGTCCTCTTGTCAATCCGGAAGGCGTCCCTGCGCCTTCAAACACTCCTTTTTGCAATCCCGTCCTCCCGTGCCGCCAGTACTTCTGCACATATGTACCTACATGCGGTCCTCGTGGTCTATCTCACTCCCAACAACGGGTATTATACCACCCGTGCAGCGACCAAAGCTTAAGGCTCGTGAGGTGCACTGTCCGTGCACACTGACCGGCAGGTCTTCCAGTGGTAGTATTACTTTGAAGTGGACGTCTGGAAGAAAGCGGGCTTGGATGTCATACTATACAAACATGGTACATACCTAGAACATTGCATACATGCATACGTACATATCGCAGCACCATTATATTTTCTTCAAAATAGCGAACTGATTTCTATTGTCATTAGTTTGTAGCCAAGCAGTACTTATGTCGATTGCAGGCCTTGCCAAAAACAATCGGGCAGTTCTGTGTCGAGTTCGGCTTCTGTCTAGACAAGTATATATAGACAAGCCCCTCCTCAGTCACAGGCTGGCCGCGCATACTACAAGTACAAGGCCAAGCGCTACAAGTCCGTCTTACATATCTTCTTCTACCGACTCTCATGCTCATCAAACCCTCCAGCTGGCCTCGTACTCGTGGTGTGGCGATGAACTCCATTGATCATCCTCACGGCAGTGCCATAATTACTTCCATCTCTTACGTACATAGTATGTCTCTGATAGTATATTGGCTAGTACACCCGCCTGTCATAGCTGATAGTGATATGCTCCTGCGCGGGAGAGCTGGGTTCAATTCCCAGTCAGAGAGATTTGCAGAGGATGTTTTTTCTTTTGACAAAAAGATAAGTAAGAAAATGCCAACAGGCTAAAGGCTTCCTCCACTCCCCAACGGACAAAACGGACAACAGTACATATACATACACACACACTAGCAGCTACCCGTGCTCCGCACGGATCAAGACACGACCCATGCTCGTTTCGAACAGCTAATCGTTGGTCTCAAAGAAAATTATTATATAGATGGGCCACGTCAAACACCGCTAGGCAGTGCTGCTCCGCCGGTATACTTGTACTCGAGCACCTACAGGCCCTCCAACTATTGCCCTCACAGCCCTCCCATTTCCCTTTCCAGCAACGTCATTCACACCCTCCAAGTGCTCTATCCAACAGTAATCATGGCCCATTGATCCAAACCGCGTCCGGCCGGCGGATTTTGAGCAGTGGGTGGAGGGGCGAATGACGTGGAATCGGCGCTGCCTCACAACGCATGCACAGATCGAAGTCTGGGCAGTCTGGATGCATGCACTGTTATGGTGTAGAGGAAGGATTGGTCGTGCGAACGGGGACGGATGTGTAAGAAGAGAGAGGTGGAAAAATGAAGTAGGGGAATGATGGGGAGTGGACAAGGTCGTGTGGACAATGGGATCAGTCATAGGAAAAAAATGGCACATTGGTGGTACGAAAAGGGGTATTGTGTATACGTGGTATGGAACATTAGTTTAGATCATATGTCATCGATCGCGAATCGAACGGCGGAAATAAAACGCCGATATGGAAAAGACAACGTTAATCCGATGAATGCCGCAGATTGTATGACATGACCGCAGAAACATGACACAAAGAAATCACCCCAATGAGGAGCGGCGGCAGATGCAGGGCGTCGACGAGCCGACGAGCCCGCACACCGGAACCGACCATGACGATGACGACGACGACAGTAGCAACAGTGACGAAGAAGCACCCACAATTTCATCTAACCGATTGCCACAACACAGCAAAAAGCAACTTAAGGCGTACCTTGTAACGCACACCGACGATACTCGCATGACAGTAGTCACACATCGCGTGAAACTGCTGACCAACCGCCGAGTCGGTGGGCGGAGGGGCTATGGGTGGGAGGCACCGGACTTTCAACATGATGTGCTCTGGCGGGTGCACATCCGTAAGTGGCTCACAATCCTCGCACAGGTCGTAGTCCGGGCAGAGATCATCTGTGCAGCGGTACCGCACCCCGACGACATTATGCCCACAGTTGTTGCATGTGCACATATGCTCCGGCATGGCTTGCCTGCGCTCGGAAATTTGTGTCTGTACAAGCGTGCGAATGGGATGCGTAAGTTGTGGTGAAGGTGAGCTGTTAGGACTAGGCGTGGTTTAAACGGGAAGAGTCGTTTGAATAACGTACCGCGTCAAGAAGATAGTCTTTCACATAACGCACGCGGACAAACGTGTGGTCTTTGTGTTGCGCTTGCGTCAATCTAGATAGGTGTCGGTGAGTCGGTCTGGACAAGCGGACAAGGCGGGGACAGCGGGAGACTAAATGCGAACTTGAAAAAAAAATTGGATAAACAAAAACGGAGGCTGGTGAACGCAGCCCAGGGCAGCCAGACGATGAAGCAAAACAAGGGAAGAAAAGAGCAGCACATTACTAACGGGAAGCAACTCTCACAGGAATCGAAATCTGGGCAGGTCGCGCACTTCTGTTCGCAAAGTCTCCCGTTAGTCACACTCCTGCCACACGGCTCTGCAGGGCCTGCATTGAACATCACACTCACATATCGTTTCCCAGAAATGCTCGTCCGACATAGATTGCAATTAGCATGGTGTTTCTGTGTACCCGTTTCAAGAATGGAATCCTCCGTTATATCGCGCACAAAATCAACATGCATCTTATAGATCCGCGCCTCATCGAACGGTGCGCGGCAGAAGGGGCACGTGTGGCTACCTGAATGCGCTACACCAGGTATGCAGCTGTAGCAGAAGCTGTGGCCTACAAAGGTTATGAAGCGCCGATCTACAGGTTGCAAGAACATCTGTCTTTACCCACCGCATGGAATAAAATGAGGTAGATGATCTTCATTGTAATCCTGCAAACAGATATCGCACGCGCTCCGGCCGGCTGCAAGTAGAAGCATAGCGCAGATCGAGGTTCACGAGACGTAGTACATGAAAGAGGAAGGTGCACATAAGGCCATGCGCCCCGACAGCCCCGAGTTACTTGCCGACGTCGATCATGATGTTGACAACTTCTGTCACGGTTCCATTATAATGCCAATAAATTTGGCGTCAACGGTTGAGAAAGCTTCGAGTGCAGTAAGCTCGATTCTGATCGAGCCTATGATTCTAGAGTACGCCAAATCTACCCAAATTTTGAGTACAATTCACCTGTACTTTTTGTTTGTTAGTGGATGACCTTCCCCAGGATCTGGAATTCTAGTTGTATTTTTCAGACTGAGATCTCGTGAATTTGAAATGGCAAATAGTGAGGGATTCCAAACCCCAGCACAGAAGTACAAAATACAAACAGTTCGCAGTTGTAATATATGGTTCGGCCGAGAACGGATGCTACACAATGAGTCGCAATACCATTCCTAATCGGGTCGAATTCTCTCGCTGTCCTCGAGGTTGAAATCAATGAAATACACCATATAATTTAGCACACTTTGTTTAGCACAGAGACAACATATTGACAAAAGAATCATGCAGCTGCATTTGAGTGACACGATGCCATCAATACCGCACTGAAAATTTGTTAACACACAGTGACCACTATGGTCACCATTGTTGAAGGTTGAGGTGCTGCAGAGAACAGCACTCACAATATGTGGTCAATGTCAGACAGAGAAAAGCAGTTTGTCGAAGTCATGGCATCAATTTTCAACTTGAACGGAGGACACAATACATACGGCAACAACAAGGACGACTTGCAGGACAAGCGCGCTTGTCGAGCGGAACGAGAGCGGCGAGTCACGCGTCTGAATCCCGGGCATGACTCATGCCGTGCTCGGGTCACGAACATGTCGAGCTGCCTTCCATTTTCAGCGTCTGCAATCTGCAAATTAGCCAAGTACAACATGAAAGAGGGTCGCGACCCCCTTTCCAGCTTCAATTCTAGTTTCTAGATATAAATGCACCGAGATCGTCCGAGATCCCGATGAGATCAAGGTGAGATCTGGAACGGGGTGAAGAGATTTATTGTACTAAAATATCCGAAGTACAAAATAATAATGAGGCCAAAAATGGGAAATGCGCAGTTCGGCATCTCGGCATGGGTGGTTTAGAACTGAATTCTAAAAGTACGAAGGCTTTCAGACGCTGGGGAAAGTCATCCAGTAGCAGAATATCGCACAATAACCACTATGCACTATGAAAACGATTTCGGGTGAATTTCTCCAACATTAACTTGATGTCACCCGGCAGAAGGGTGAAGTTAATTTGGTGGCGAAAATACCCCACAAACCGGGCAAAGTCAGGTGGCGTGAAAACCAGGTAAATTTCTTCTTCGAATTGGGGGCCGGCAACTGGCAGGCGAAAAGTGATACGCACCAATCGGTCAGTAGCTAGATAGGTCCCGCGGGGTACATATTCGTCGCCAGGTCTAAGAGACTCATCCAGCAGTGGAAAATTTGTGCTCTGGCTAAATTATAACAGTAATAGAGTAGTTCCCATGAATGATCAGGGAGATCGGTGTCTCGTACAAGGGTTTGAAAGCAGATGGGAGTCCGCGGGACTGCCCAAAAGGTGAGTCATACAGCCATTCTCCTCAACAAAAAGACGATGGATTTTGAGAAATCAGCATCAGGAAAAAATGATGTAAGAGCGGAGATAGAGGTTTTTCTATGTGCAGATTAGATCGATTGGGACAGATTTTTGATGCAGTGTCGTTTTTAAGGATTTTCAGACAAAATCTCACCTTATTTGCACATATTTAAAAAATCTGTCCCAAGAATATTTATCTACACCATCTTGCGGACATTTCTTCCACTGACAACTTATCGTCAAAGTGAGCGTACGTTTCTATATCTCAACTGACCATTTCTACAGCCAACCTCGGAAGCAATTTAGGCAGTGGATTGCCGCCCCCCATTCGAATCTCGGCAAAACCCGAGTTCATCGTCTGACTTCAAACAGTACAAGTCGCAAGTCAACTCCAACCTGCATCTCGACTGCTCATATACATATGTCCCCGTACTCATGCACTCCGCTGTTTCTATCTGCGCACTCCGCTAGTCGCTACCGCGTACTCGGACTGGCCCTCATGCCTCGTTTCGCGCCCGCCCGCACTTCTCCGCCACAAGGTTCGGCAACGCTGCCGTCACCTGATGACCGTTCGAGGATGCCAGCGCTTTTGGTGTCGGAGCTCGCCAATCTCACACCTGCTGACATCGAGCTTCTTGACGTACTCAACTACTTCCCGCGACGGTGTACTGGACCTCTTCCATCTATGTGCTCGACCGCTTGCATCCGCCCTTCCATCTGTGCCTTCAACGGCTCTCGCTCACTCAATGGATTTCACTCACACCCTCAACTACTTTTACCTGTGCACTTGACTGCTTTGATGTGCTCAGTTGGCTACTTTTACTTGCTTACCGGACTGCTCACTCTTAGCTTCAAGTTTCAAGTTCAACCACTGTCATGTGCTCCTTCAACTGTTGTCACGTGATCGGCGACCGCTCGCCTTTCAATGGCTCACATTGGCTCTCAACCGCTCTCACTGACCTCCTTTATGGCTTGTACTGTTGTACTGACTCTCTCCTTTGACTGCTTGTACTGGCTCTATCAATTGACTGCTTCCTATTGGCTGCTTTGACTGCTCACACCTGCTTACTGGACTTGTGCTGACTCTGTTGACTGTACACATGCGATCACTGCACGACCGCACGACGACCGCATGACTGCACGATGACCGCACGACCACGCGACGACCGTATGACGTCGCGACTGCGACGACCGCACGATGACCACACGACGACTGCACGATCGCACGACGAACGACTGCACGACGACCGCGCGACTGCCCGACGATGT